AGGTATAATTTGTTCGATTTTACGCCCAAAACTATAGGATTTTTTTGATCCCCATAGAACATGATGTGCATTGAAGTCACCTAAGATAATTCGTGGTTGAGGAATTTGATTAAAAAGGTCTAATAATTCGCGAGCTGAAGGATCAGTACCAGGAGGAATGTATATATTGCAGATGTTTATTTTTTGAAGTCCTTTCAAAGTTATTGTTGTAGCCTCTAATTGTGTATTTAAATCAATTATTTCTTAATCATATTGGTTATGTACATAAATAGCTGTCCCTCCACTAGCCTGGTTTGCATTAAGTCTATTTTTAATATATGGTGTGTACTTTTTTAGTTTGTAAAATTTCTGCTGTTTAAAGTTGTAGACATATTATGGACGGTATGAATTTGGACATTAGTAATTTAAATTCTTCTAGACGGATGTAAAACATGTTCAGATTCCACTGAATTATGGAGTTGAATTTTTAATTAATAGGTGTATCGCTGCAATCTGTAGAGGAATAGTCATCCTGTAGTTTACAAAGTTTCTTCCTTAGTCTTGTACATCGTGTTTTCAAGTATCTTTGTGATAGCACTGGATGAAGTTTTTTTAGGAGATCTATTAACCCTTCAATATCTTCCGTGTATGTTTTATCAATACTAAGCGGATCTCTTCTTGTCTTAAACAGCTACTGTTTGACTTATTTTTGAAAAAATCAACTGTACAGTTAGTAAAATCTTCAGCTAAGTTGTGGTGGGTTTGGACATCCGTTTTTGTTCCTTTATGTTTTGTATTGGGTTCTTTAAAAGGATTTACACCCTCCGGTTCAGGAGAATTTGTTATATCAGAAGCATTTATTTTAGGTGTTTGAACTTCTGTTTCAGTTTCATTTATAGTTTTATTTATTTTACCAGGTTCAGAAACATTTTTTTTTGGGTATTTGTACCTTTGTTTGAGTTTCTATTATAGTTTCATTTATTTTACCCGATACCGTCTCCATTGTTTGGGAGTTATCGAAAGAGGTAGAGTTTTTTGGTGTGGGTGAAGTGATGGTTTCAGTAGGTTGTGGATTACTGATTTGTTTGGTAAGTACGGGAAAATGTACTGTAGATTGAGTTGTATTTTGTTGTGAACTAACAGTCTGGTCACATTGTGATTGAGAAATGTGTGTTGTATTGTCATCAGTGGATTGATTATTATGATTTGGGCATCGAGATGCTAAATGATCAGTTTATTTACAAATAAAGCACGTTTGTTTTTCTAGTGAGAGAAATATTCGATAGTTCGATTGATCATGGTTAATTAATATTGAATCGGGGATATTTTCAAGATTTGTAGGAGCTATATAAGTAAGACGTCGAAAACTAATGATATGCCTAAAACTAGGATTTGATGTTCCGATCCGTAAAAAATCTATCGGTGTTATTTGATGGATTCCTATCTTTTTGAGTTCATTTTCTATTATGTTATGTGGTACAGAAGGAGATACATTAGAAATATTTAGTTTTTCGTTTGGAGTAATTAGTTTTCTAACTTGAATGCGATGTTGGTTTACTGTTATTATCCCATTATCTGTTTCAAAAAATTTTTGAACAATATTTTCCAAGTGAAGTATATGCATATACGATCATTAACAATTCTGGATATTGCAAGTATATTTTTGGGGTCAATTAAGTTGGCTACAGCATTCAGATAATCCTCGATTTTTGAATTTGGAACTGTATTAACTGCAATTGCTTGTTTTTTGGAAGGAAATATGTTGGTAGGTTCATTTAAAACTGTTCAATATAACTTTGGTGCAGTAGTTTCATTTTTGGGGATTTCTTGTTGTGAAAAAACATTTGATGATGAAGCTTGTTTCATGTTGATCTACGGAACCTGAGTACGGTCCTGCACCAATACGAAATCATTGATAATAACTCGATGTAATTAAATAAATCAAATTACTTACAGTTAATGTCCAAAAGTATTAACAATAAATAATTATTTGTCAATAACTTACACTTTACTACACTTTTAGCTTTAAATGTTTTTAAACAAAACCACAAAAACTAGGTGCGATTAAGGTAATTAGGTTTTGCTTCGTTGAACGCTCGAAGTCGAATCCCTTTTTATTCCGTGCAACACCATTTTGTTCATAATATGATCGGTCCACGGTATTTTCAAAATTCTCCTAAAAAGCCACATCTCGAAAGCTTTTAGCTTTCTCAGTTATACATAAGTAATAGAAATAGTTTGTATTGTTACTCAATTACGCAAAAATTTGTTATGTACGTATTATACCTCAAAAATTGAATTCTTCGAGCTTTCTTAAGCTGCAAATGTAGTAGTCGTCAAATCGTCAAAGCTAATAAGGGATGCTGGTTTATGTTCAATTGATCTCGTTTGTGTTCAATTGATATTATATATATTTTTATATATTTTTATGATTTTGAGTTCTCCAGATGACACTGTGACTGGCAGCGTGAGAAACATTCTCAATGTAGTATCTAGTATTATTAGGGGAGCCTTCTAGTTAATTTTTACAAATATTTGATACATGTGGGAAATACTTATCATTTCTCGCATAGTCTTCATTCTCTCTGCTAGACTTCATTTAAATTGTCAACTGTTAAAAATACGTGATGCTTGACACTTTCTATTTCAAATTTAAATTCTTAAAGCTGTTTTATCGGTGCACCAAAAACCTAGGGACAGTGTTTTCTCTGTTATTTACCGACAAAATTTCTTGAAATTTGGACACGTTATTCGAAATTATGTTGCCTTTAAAATTATGGATTTACTTTTTTTATTTTTTTTGAAACTTCTGTTGAAAAATTGGATTATACTGTTTAACGTTCTATTATAACCAAACTTTTTACGCCCATCACTTGAAAAAGTTTTTTCTGTAATCGTTGATTTTTTTCATCTTTCTGTATCCAGTAATAATCGAGAAAAGCGTGTTCCAACTTTGAAGAAAATTGCTGAAAAATACTAAAATCTAATAGTGAAATGTGTTACTCATCATTGGCGATTAGTTTCACCGTTATCGCCTTCGTGACTTCAAATCTCATGAACGTACGATCAGTTAGTTCGTGTTAAAACTAATTTGAATGTTGTTGTCATTAAACTACTCGTCGGCCGGAGCCACTGAGTAAAGATGGTCTGGGGTAAGCAGTGTAGAAAAGTAAGTGATACGCCCATTTGAATTCGCAGTGTGCTTCAACTGCTAAAACAGCCTTAAATGTTGAGTTCAACAGACTAGACGGAAGAATCAACAGACTTGGCCAAAGGTAGAACTCATGGTTAAAGAATCTACCTGATTGGTATCAATGCAGATTGATTGATTTGTTTAGAGTGGCAAGTTCAAAAATAAAAAATAGCCATTAAGATCGCCAACCTCCGTAAGGAGACGGCACTGGAAGAAGAAGAGGGCAAACTCTCTTCACGACCTTAAAGATTTCAGGCAGACAAATTTACTGTTAGATTACTGCCAGATCATATTGTCTTGTTTTCTTCCTCTTCTTCTTTTTTTTATGTATACATGAGTCTATCTGTTTTTTCATGTGCCTCCAGTAAGTTGTCATTTCATCGGTTCCGTGGTCTTACTACTGATTAATACTTCCTATTGGGAAACCGTCTCTTTCTGTATTTACTACTCCATTTGTTATCATTCGGCTTATATGATCGTTCGATTTTACTCTTTATTTCTAACCCAGTTTTTGATGTTTTCCACCGTGCATTTACGTCGTATATCTGATTGGCAGGATTAGAAAATGGAAAACAAGACTGACAATGTACAGTCTTGTTTTCAGGTTAAAATATTAGTGTTACCTATTTTTAGAGAACTTTTCAGCGTAAAGTTAAAGCAGCAAAAAAATAGATAATGGGATAAAAACGGGATACAAAACGGGATGAATGCCATTAATGACATTAATAACTTTGCTAAACGTCATTTTGTGATTTTTTATATTTAGTTATAAAATATTATAAACTGACGTTTAACAAACGAATCAAATGAACTAAAACTGTAGAGGTGAAGTCGGAAAAAACATTTTAAATTTACAATTAAAAAAAATAAGGGCCATTTATCGAGATAAAAAACATCCTATCTCCAAGTTGGATTAACAAATACACTTTTACAAAATTTTATTGCAATCGGTTCAGTTGTTTTTATATATTAGCTTCATCGAGTTAGAATCTATGGAGAGGGCATCACGTGATTAAAAACGACCTCACTTCGGCCGTATTGTTAAGAATTGTTTTGACACTTTTGACAGATCTTATATGTTTGTTTACATTTGTTGTTTTTCGAATATTTTTAGTTTTATAATACTTTTATAGAAACTGTAATAATATATTGTGATAGTGCATAATAATGATTTCTTGTTCTCAATGTAGTTGCAATATCAGAAGCAATGGTAATAAAAAATATTTAGGAATATCTTTTCACAGGTTAGTATACAAATATGTAAACAAAGTAATGGCCCGTACTTCAGAGAATAAAATTAATAGTATTTGACTGTATTAATTTATCTTTATGTATAATATATCGTGTTTTTAGTGTTTACCGCGGGATAAATAAATAATAGTTTATTAAAAATGTATTGCATTTTTTTAGATTATGATTAAATCTTCTGAATAACTATTAACTAGTCATACTTGTATAGTAGTTTTAATAAGATTGAGTCTGGCCCTGATCCCACCGCCATATTGGTATTATCGTTGGCCACGCCTACCTACGCCGTTTTTAATACATACGTTAATATGCTGATAGCTTCTCCATAGATTCTAACTCGATGATTAGCTTATACAACGTGACACATACACAAATATATATATATATATATATATATATATATATATATATATATATATATATATATATATTATATACCGAGAGCAACTGAGAGGGGAACTAAACTTATTACATATAAAAGTGAACAAAATCAGTCCCAAATAGATTACTTATCTAGATATTTAGATAAAAGAACAAGAAAAAATTTATTTGTTATTCTCTATTTATTATTATTACCTATATGATTCTTTTCATTATTCTTTTTAGCAAGATTTTTACACGTTCAAGTTTTTTAGGAAAAATATTGTCGCACGGCCTAAAGAAGGATGGCATGTTGGCATATGAAAAAGAATTGGATGGTAGCGAAGATGATCCGCTAGAGAGTTACCTGAAAGATGCTAGTATGTATTCCAGAGGTATGACATATACATCTTATAACCAATATTTATTGACATTTCTGTTGTTGTCTCTTATCTGTCAATATCCCAAATTTATATTATTTCTATCAATATTGTATTTTATTCATCATCATTATCATCACCACCATAATCATTTGTGCTATAATGGAAGTTGACTTTACCTTACTAATCTTATGCTTCCATTCGGTTTTTTATTCCATGAAGTTTGATTTGGAAAGATTCAACTAAGAAACGATTGTACGTGAAAAACACACTGAAAGAAATAGTCATTGAATCATGGTAAACAAAGTAAATGGATATCTTGGCTCGTTTGAATATGACACACATGCACACATATGCATCAGTAAGATAGTATGAAACTTCATCAAAAAGCTTAGCTACGACTTCACTGAGTCACACACACATACACACATACATCAGTGATATTGCATGAAAAAAAAATCTCAGCTGTGACTTCACTCAGACCAGGTAATCACAAAATAATACCAGATCGAGTAACTTGCTTGCTACCACAAATCAGAAGGCTCAGCTCAAAACCACAGAATCCAAAAATAATTATAAGCTCAAATTTGAAAGAAACTGCCACGTGATACTTTTTATAATTTAAGGACTAAACTGAGCCATCCACTCAATAAAGAATGGAAAGCCCACAGGTCCGAATAATATCTGTGAATAATTACCAGGATAGCTGCAAGGTCCTGAAAATTTAGGGGAAAGCTGAAGCATTATTAAAGACATGATATGACCCAGACACACTCCCCTAAAACTAGCGACCAATATCTTTTTTATAAGGTCTTTCCAAGATAGAGGAAATCAGATACACTAAATCGCATGGAAAAGTAGTCGACTAGAATCTGATATCAAAACAAGTTGGTTTTAGACTAGGTAAATCACGCATAAAATTTCCACTCACAAAATACTTAAAGGAGAGATGCGAAAATAAACAAATAATGGTGCTTGCACTAGTCTACCTGAGTTCTGCCTACGATACGATTAAAGATAACCACCCAGTAATATAGAAAATGTGAAACATTATGTATATCTAGGTCATGTTATCAAACTAGGAAAACCAAATCAAGATGCTGAAATTAAAAGAAGAACACAACTGGCTTGGGGCGCTTTCGGCAAAATAGCACATATTTTGAAAAACACCTCCATTTCTATAAACTTAAAGAACAAGGTGTATAACACATCCATACTACCTGTTTACCAAAAAATCTGCCAAAAAATTAGAAACAACGCAAAGAGCAATGGAACGAATCATGCTTGGAATATCACTAAGAGACAAGATTAGAAATACCGAGATAAAACGTAGAACGAAGATTAGGGATATTGTGGAAGAAATTACAAAAATGAAATGGCGCTGGGCAGGTCACGTAGCCCAATATAATGATAACAGGTGGACACGGAGAATTCTAGAATGAAGACCAAGGACGACAACAAGAAGCATGGGAAGACCTCAAAAAAGATGGGTAGATGACATAAGAGCAGTGGCAGGCAAACAGTGGATTAGATTGGCGCAAGATAGAGAAAGATGGAAGCAATTGGGAGAGACCTACATTCAGGAGTGGATGGATGGTTGACAAAGAAGAAGAGATCCAGTAATAATTATCGACTCATTGCTACAAAACAGTCGATTCCATATCATTTTGGAGGGAAAGAGCAGCCGGTGGAGACAATCAAATATTGGTCTGCCTCGTGGCTCTTACATCTTTAATATATACATAAATGACCAAACAATAACCACTTATACAGGACACTTTCTATATGCCGATTACCTGACCATCGCTGTAACAAAAAAAACCTTTAATGAAATCGGAAATAAATTAGAACAATACCGTATTGAACTACTACCGAATCAACTCATTTATAATGAATGCAGCCAAGACGCAAGTATGTTAATTGATTCTCTGCACTCGCCAAGCAAATCTTGTCTACATCCTCCTTATTTATGTTCTTTCTCATTAAAACAACATTTTATCACAATATCAGTTCGGCTTTTTATCTAATAAAAGTACCAGTGATGCTGTTCTATACTATATAAGGTTTACTAAGCACTAACCAGTAATTTACACTGTCAGTTTTTTGTGACTATGCCAAAGCTCTTGATTTTGTAAATCACGATATTTTTGTAAAAGAACTAAATTTCTACGGAATTCGACGTATTTCTTTATGACTTTAGTTACACAAGCATTATATTATTATAGTATTATGCATTATAATATTAATGTAAGCATTACATTATCTTTAAATGACATCGCTAATTTAAAAATCGGTGAAAATTTTTTTCTTTTTGCTGATAATACCAATATCACCTAAAGAAACTCTAATATTGTAAGTCTTCGTGCAACTATTACTTCCGATCCCTAAAAACAAAAACCTGGTTTGACTCTAATTAACTCTCTTTTAAGGTAAGTAAGACAGTAACATTATCTTTTATCTTATAAAGTAGTGGCCCCTTTTTATTTATTTCTTAATTAAGAAACTAGTCTTAGACTGCAATGAAATAAGATATGTTTCAAAGGAAATTAATTTAGTATCTTCCAAAATAACATACTTTTTTGTCCGGGTCTAATCTTCGATATAGTCTTCCTTTTTGTGGCTTTATTAGAGCTGACTAGTCTGATGTTATTTCTAAATTACAAAAAAGAGCAATACGGTATTTGCTTGGCCTTAAAAAACAACCCATTGCAGAAGCTACTTTAAAAATTACGGGATTTTAACGCTTCTTTCTTTATATATTTTAAAAACTGTTTGCTTAATTCGTATAATTCGTAAATGCCTCCATGTTTTTCCAGCAATCATGACTACTCCACCAGACATTCAATCTTTGATGCTTATTTACCGATCCCATCTACTAAGTTACTAAAGAAATCTATATTATATTCTGCAAAAAACTATACAACCATCTCTCTTTACAACTTAAATCTGCAACATTTTTCACCCTAGTTCCGTAAAATGACTAAAGACTATAGATCTGAAAGACATATTATTCGGTAGAAGAGTTTCTAAACTAATAACTAAGAAATTACAATATCTTTATATACAAGTAGCTAAAGTATTTTTAACTATATTTGGGTATCATATGCAGCAACCTTAACTTCTTAGTTTGTAAAGTTTTGTTATGTAATTTGCAATTTATTTAAATTTTGCAATTGATAATTTATTTTATTAATTTAAAGATAGAAGAACAATCAAGAGAACCCAGCGAAATTCATAGAGAACAAAGAGAATATAGAGAAGAAATAAGACAGTTACGACAAGAGAATGTAACATTACGAGAGGAAAATACAAAACTAAAAAAGGGAGTTTTTCAAATAGAAGAACGGCTGGAAAGTTTGGAAAATAGAAAAAGGCGTGAAAATATAGTTATACAAGGCATGAACATAGATACAAATGTCCAGAGACTTTAAAACATGAAATAAAAAATTTTATGCAGGTAGAATTAGCAGTCGATGTTCAAATAGAGAAGGTTGTGATGCTGGGGAGAAAAAGTCTGTCTGGTTGAGCTTGAAAAAGAAGAGGACAAAAAAAGTCATGCGAAACAAAAGCAAATTAAGAAACCGAAGAAAATGTCGAGTTTATATCAATGATGACTTGTCAAAGAAGGATAGAATTGTACAGAAATATGTCAGACAGAAAACACAAGAACTAAGACAGGAAGGGAGAAAAGTGAAAGTAAGATATAAGAAAATATATTCCGATCAGGAAATATGGCACTGGGATGACATGAACCAAACGTTGGTAGTAGAGACCAAAGCAAAAAACTAAGCACCAGCATGAAAAGGAAAGAAATTAAGACGAACAATGCGAAGAAAAGGATTACGAACTATGAAAACGAAACAAAACAAGATAGGAATACAAAGGTAAAGTCGAAGAAAGACAAGATAAATTTAGCCGCATGGAATGTCAGAGAAACCTTTTATAAAGGTGCGCTAAAAGAATTAATGAATGAGGCAAGGAAGTATAAAATAGATTGAATGGCTCTTCAAGAGATTTTTAGTAGCTGAATATATCAAGGACAAAGTGATAGCTTTTAATCCTATCTCTGATAGGATGTGTTCAATACGAATTAAAAGTAAGAAAAGGAATTGGAGTATAATCAATACTCATGCACCGTCAGAAGACAAGGACGACGAAATAAAAGATCTTTACTATGAGCAGCTAAATGATGATTACGAGCGCCTACCTAAACGTGATGTAAAAATAATAATAATGGGTGATTGTAATGCTAGTGGGAAAATAACCTCTCTACACTGCAGTAACTGGTAACTGTAGTAAACACGAAGTAACAAACGATAATGGTCAAAGACTTATTGGATTTGCCATAGAGAAAAACGTGGTGGCGAGAAGCACACAACTAAAACGAAAAGAGATATAAAAAGGTACGTCGGTCTCCCCTGATGGAAGGACGGTGAATCAAATAGATCATGTTATGCTTGAAAATAAATATACGAATATCATTCAGAAGGTAAGAAGTATGAGAGGAGCTGAAATCGACTCGGACCATTACCTCGTTAAAGTCACATGTGGGAGGAGGCTGGAAGAAAAAGAGAAATCGAACAATAAAACGAAGAGAAAGTACAATATTAAAAAACTTAAGGAAGTAAAAATAAAAACTAAATACGAAGAAAAAATAAATAAAATTCTACAACAATGTGACCAAAATTTACAGACAGATCAAGCCTGGGAACAAATTAAATCTGCTGTAGGAGAAGTTAGCGAGAAAATAGTTAAGTGCGACTCCAAGAGAAGTACAAATAAAGATTGGTTTCACGAAGAGTGTCAGGTGATAGCAAAGGAAAAGAAAAAGATTAGACAACAAATATTAACAGATAATAAAGAGTCTAAAAAACAAGAATATAGAATAATTCGAGGAAGATTAAAAACTCTGTGTAGAAGGAAAAAGAGATACCACAATGAGTTGAAATTAAAAAAGATAGAAGAGAAGTTTAAAAACAAAGAGGTGAGGTCGTTCTATCAAGAAGTTAAAAAGATGGAAAAGGTTACCAAAGCCACTGTAGTTAAATGAAAGGTAAAGACGGAAATTTAATTAGCGATCCGGCAGAAATAATGACGGAATAAAAAAAACATTTTGAAGAACTATTAAATGGTGAGGTGGACCACGAAGCAGTAGACAACTGGACGGTTGGAGAAGATGCGATAGTTAAAAGGCAGCCTACAGAGGATGAGGTGGTGACAGCAATACATAAAATAAAAAATAACAGAAGTCCAGGTAAAAGTAACATATGCATAGAAATGATCAAGTTTGGTGGAGAACAACTACAAAGAAAAATATATCAGCTACTAGTGCAAGTATGGGAAAAGGAAATAATGCCATAGAAGTGGTATGAAGCCCGCATATGCCCTCTGCATAAAAAAGAAGACAAACTAAAATGTGACAACTATAGAGGTATAGCCTCACTAGACACGGTATACAAAATCTTGGCAACAATATTGAGAAATAAACTAAACTGCTACACGGAAAGAATCCTACATGAGTATCAGGCCGGCTTTAGAAAGGACAGATCTACTGTAGACCAAATCTTCTCATTAAAGGAGATACAAACGACTGGTTATGAAGGTAAAAAGTTCCCTGCATGTTTTGTTTGTGGATTTTAGAGAATCGTATGATAGAGTCGATAGTCAAAATATATCGAGCAATGGAACATTTAGGTATACCAAAGAAACTGATCCGGCTAGTAAAAATGACATTAAATAACTCTAAGTGTGAAATTACGTGGTAGGGTCACATATCAGATCAATTTATGGTTGCAAAAGGCTTAAGACAGGGAGGTCCTTTATCCACTACATTATTCAACTTAGTCTTAGAAACTGTAATTAGAAAAAGCAACATGAAGGTGGAAGAAACAATCATGAAAAATAAGCACCAGTGCTTGGCATTTGCTGACGATTTCACGATCCTAGCAAAGACTGAGAAAGAATTAAGAAGAGTTGTAAAGAAAATTATCGAAGAAGCACAAAAATTCGGATTTGAACTTAGTGAAGACAAAACCAAATATATGATCATGAGAGGAACAGAAGGGAAAAAAGAAAACTTTAGTGTGAGGTCTGTAAGTGGTAAAAGCTATAGTTTTAAAAGGGTGGACAAATTTGAATACCTGGGTGTAGTTTTTGATGAAAATGGAAAAGAGGAATGGGAGCTAGAAGCCAGAATAGCAAAAAGGAATAAAAAATTAGGTAGTTTACGAGTCCTACTGAACTCAAAATACATTTCTAGACAAGGTAAACTCAGAATATATAAAAAAGTAATTCGAGCCACAGTAACATACGCCGGTGAGACATGGATATAAATAAGAAGGAAGAGGATACTCTGGAAAGATGGGAAAGGAAAATACTGAGACGCATATTCGGAGGAGGTAAGACAGAAGATACTTGGGAGAGAAGACCCAACAATGAATTAATGGCTTTATACAAAGAACCTACCATTACCAAGTTCGTCAAGTCACAAAGAATCAGATGGTTGAGACATGTGGAAAGAATGGAAGCAAACAGAATGCCCAAACTAGTAATAACCAGAAAACTAATCGGTCCCAAAAGAAGAGGTAGACCCAGAACGAGGTGGATTAATAAAGTGGAGGAAGACCTTAAACACGTGAAGGTGAGGGACTGGAAAAGAAAAGCACAAAATAGAAGCGAATGGAGAAATATTGTCCATCAGGTCCTTCAGAGACTCTGAAGGACTCTGAACTACCTGAATCAGAGTAGTTAAGAATGTTGTATATACATATTTAAGTTAAAGTTTTATTTAAAATAATTGTAATTAGTTATTATTAGGATTATGTTTACAAAAATTGCCCTAGGCCTTAACGGCCTGTAGTGCGTAAAAAATAAAATAAATTTATTTTATTATGTTCTATTTTGTGATATTCACGATGTATGTACTTTTAGTAAATTGTAATTGTTTCTATCATTCTCTCACTTTTTGTAAGCTTTGTCCATTAAATTGTACAATTTTCAGTGACAATAAAGCATATTTCTATTCTATTCTCTTCCCTCAACACAACAGCGGATATTCACTTTTTCTAGTTTGCCTGTATTTCGTCAATTTAACGGTTAGCTTTTTCTGTTAGATAAAATAAATTGTAAACACTCTTATGTTCGAGCAATATTTTGTTGCTTACATTTTATAAAATGTATTACTTATTTTTGCTTTAATTGCAATACATAATCATCAGCTTTTTATTGATTCTTTATTCGCTTAAGTTACGGTGTTACGTTAGTGCTTTCAGTCGTTTCACTGGTTCCACTAATATCACATCATCACTTTATGTGATTTTTTGTTGAAATAAACAGTAAATTTAATTATTTTTCCTAAATTTTCAGTTGTCATTTTATGTGTCAGAGGACCGTTGGTACGAGAATTTATGTTGACAGCTCACACTCTCGGCATGACTAGTGGAGAATATATATTTCTGGATGTAGAAATTTTTCAGGTAAATACTTATATTTTTTATTTGGCATATGAAAGTGTACTATGCGTCAGATAGTCTTTCTTTCATTTTTATACCTATCGTCATATTGGGTTTAAATACTGTACAGGTCAACCAGAATAGGAAAAAACGTGACGTGCGTGCAACCCGGAGGAAAGATGCGGAATTCAATAATTTTCAATTTGTCTACAATTTTTTTACTCTTTTACGAAAAATATTTCAAAGGATTTATTTGACAATTTTTAAATATAATTAAAAGTGTTTCAAGTGTACATTTCGTGTTCCAACATAATTTTTTAGTGCTGAACAAACAAGCTCTATTGGGTTTAAATTTAGATGATATGGTGGTACCCTTAATACGCCATGTTTGTTATTTCTAATAGAATTAACAGCAGAAAATTTAGCATATTTCGGTTTATATAATTGTATCATGGCATACAGAACTGGTCTGAGCAAGTTACCAGAAAAGGAATATTTAATATTTCTTTGTTGATGCGGATGTTGGTGCTTGATACTTTTGAGTATTATGATTAGATGTAGTTTTTATTATGATCACAGTGTGGGAAGGTAAATTACTTAATAATTTTCCTTCTGAGCACATTTTGCAGTCAATAAAATTCATAATATTGTTATGAAGCTATTTTCTTGTGGCATTGTAAATTAATTATTATTTAACTGGGAATAAGCCACAATTAAAGATAAAAATTCGTTTATTGACGTTTCAATTTCCACTTCGGAAATCGTTCTCAAAATACAAACCTATTTGTATTTTGAGAACGATTTCCGAAGTGGAAATTGAAACGTCAGTAAACGTATTTTTATCTTTAATTGTGGCTTATTCCCAGTTAAATAGTAATTAATAAAATTCATATCATCATAGTAATCACCCGATTTTATTTGAGACTTTAATCTCATAAGATCCACCGACAAAACCTACTTCGTTCCCTACACCCACAATGATTTAACGTTTGCCCCTAAAATCCGGTTTTTTAAGCCCACTATTCATTTTATCAGTCCAACTATTACTGCGACTATGGCTTGCAAGTAAATACATTTACAACAGAAAACATAATAAATCTTTTTTCGATGTTTCAAAATTGCATATTTTTTAATAACTGTAATCTTAGGGGTCTTAAATAGAGTCTTTTCATTAAAAGTTTTCGATTAGTCTCTGTTTTTTTTTTCAACGAAAATTGAGATTCAATTTTCAAACCCATATGTTCTTTGGCTCCTTTATAATAAATTTGTCAATAAATCTCATATGAATTTTATTCACAGTGGGTACTTGTTTTTTAGTTGTATGAAAATTAATAATTTGGCGACATAACAGACCTTGTTCAAGTGTTTGTAATTTTATTTTCGAAGATTTTTTCCGCCTTTTATTAGTATTAATATATATAAGTATATCAAGCTTAATACTGATTTGTTTTTTCTGTTCAGGGTTCTTCAGTCTATTTGTCTTGTCACTGTTTTCTTTTTAACTTTGACAAATCTTTTTGAATAGTTTGCTGCTGTTTAAATAGCAGTACGATATCGTCAGTAAGAAGTCTAGTTTTTCCAGTTTTTACTTATGCATCGGAATGCTGGACCCTTACTGAGAAAGACAAAAAGAACATACATGTATTTGAGATGTACTGCTGGAAACGAATGCTGAGAATACTATGGGTGGCCCGAAGAACAAATGAATTCATACTGGGCCAGCTAAACATAAAAAAAGACTAAGAACACAAATATCAGAACAAATAATAGGCTATTTTGGACATGTGCTTCGAAAAAATGGTCTTGAAAAACTTACCATCCAGGGAAAAGTAGAAGGCAAAAGAAATAGAGGTAGATCTCCCACACGATACACGGATCATATTGTTGCTACCATTGGCGCTTCATTGTCAGAATGTGCTAGAATGGCAAAAGATAGAAAAACGTGGAGGAACATTGGGAAATTTAGCTAATAGCTTCATGATATCACGATACCTGCATCAGGTTAACGACTAAGAAGAAGAAGAAGATCGTCAGGGAAGCGTAAGAGATTTAATTTTTTACCATCGATGTTGTTTCGTATGTTCTCTTACTCAAATTTGCTGTGGCGAGAAGTTATCATCTTGACGTTTCCTAGTTCCATTTAAAATTTTGATGTATTTATTGGTTTAAAATTTTACAGTTGCTGTTGGACTTTTGTACCTATATATATATATATATATATATATATATATATATATATATATATATATAGGTAAAAATATATATATATAATATATATATATATATATATATTTTTTTTTTTTTGATTATTGTTTTATATCTGTGGTCTTTTTTATAATCGCTAGTACAGAAAATATTTTTTTTTGGTCCATCAAGTCAAACGCTTTCTTTTGGTCGACGAATATAAAGACTAGTGCTTTGTTATATCAAACTGTTTTTCTATAAATGTTTTTATAGCTAGTAGGTGGTCATTTGTATCATAAGCAGATCTGAAGTCTGCTTGCTTTTTAAGGGTAATAATAATATAGCTTGGGAGTTAATTGTCTTAAAAAGAGATGACTGATCGTCGATAGTCTTTAAGATCTGTAATTTATTCTTAGGCATGATTATTACGATGTCATTGTTTCATGACATTAAGATTCTTCTAGTTTCTAAAAATCTATTAAATGGGACTTTGCGAACATAAATTAATTTTTTTTCTTCTTCTTTATTTTCCATTACAATGACATGCCATTTCCTTTTCTGATGATGTATATGATGTATTTCTCATTTTCTGAGTGATGGCATTTTTTCTGTATAGCACGCTGTAGAAATCTTCCAACGTTTGGATTATTTTTCTTTGCCATATATCGGAGTTTAGGAATATCTTTTTTCTTCAAACGTCAAATAATGATGACATTACTTATCTAACTTGATCCTGTCAAAGTTTGATGTCTCCACCGGCAGCAGTTTTTTCCCATTTCTTTACGGCGGAGGGAAAAATGTTGTCATAGCAACAATATGAAACATGTCACATAGCAACAATACAAATGTTATTAACAACAATTAAACATCATTTTTATTTATACTAATATTAAAAGTATAATTAGTTAATGAGGCATTTTCAAAATTGAAACCATGCAAAAATGTTCCCGACTCTTGATACGCATTGGTAATTGTTGATGATACTGATGGTCGAGAACAACTTTCAGCAATCATTCCCGATGTTGGCGAATCATGAGGGTTTAAATTTTAATAAGCATTATCGTTCTTATTTCTTATTGAATCCGTTATATATCCTTCGGCAACCGTGCTTGATTTCCAGCTCCCATGTCGTTTGAGGCATTATAGATTTCCGCCTTCATCAATTAAAAGTGTTGCTGAAGTTCGTCGTAAAGAGTAACCCGTGTATGCGCTTGCATCGTTTAAATTTAAATAACTAGCTACTTTTTGGGCTACTGCGCTGATCGAATGTATTCCCATGATGCTTCGGTAACACTTTCCATTTTGGTACTTGATAAAAAATCGGTTTTCTGTGAAAGTTTCAGGCCGCAGTCATGCATACTGTTTATACAATTTAATGTAGTTTTGACCAATTATCGTAAAATATCTAATTTGTCGTGTTTTACTGTTTGGGATTTTGATAATTATTACATTTTCTTTATCCTCAATGTCCACAGTTTTCATTTTTATCATTTCGTCGCATCGACAGGCGCCGGTAACCCCAATTAACAAAACAATCTGAAATATTTTTATAATTTAGTAGAGTATACTACATGCTTTGTAATATAATTTTTTTTAACTTTAATCCTAAATACAACTTATCTGGCGCTTCAGACAAAAATTTATCAAACTCGTCTTTAGTGAAAACTTTAGACTTCTTTGCAATATCTTCGCTTGTTTTTTTCATAAATGCACGTAACTTTAAAAATTTCCTTATATCCACTTTTTTTTAATAAGTAACTCGGATATTATCATCGAGTATCGTGACCACATTGTAGAAGATTTCCATTTATTTTCATTTTCCATTATATTAAAATATGCCAGTAAAACGTCTTCGGTAACTTGCCGTACTACTCTTGTATCGCACCACTCTTGGAAGTGCTTGTACGCTAACCGATACCTTATTCCGGACTTGAAGGGCCCCAAACGTGCTACTGCATCATTAGCCGCGGACTCAATTTCGTTTAGGTTTTCCATTTTCGCACTAAATTTGCGCTTGCGGTTGCAACAACAATAAGATGTCTTTAATAATTGCAAACAACTGTCAAACAACTGTAACCAGGGAGACGCAAATCCCACCGACGACTTAATTATTTTAACTTCTAACATCTAGACGACTTTGATAGTTGTCACAATTAATTTCGAGTAAAAATAGCGTATGAATTGTACTATTTATGGTTGAAAATTGCTACGTTTGAAGAAAAATAGTATACTTTATTCGGCAAAGAAGCGACTTTTCTTGACTTGCCCTCTATTACGCCGCTCACTTCGTTCGGCGCGTAATATCGGGCGCGTCAAGAAAAGTCATGCTTCTCCGCCTCATAATAGTATATTACATAACGAGAGTTGTAAGAAGCTTATTACATGCGAGTAAAAAAGTTGCGCGCGAGCCGCGTAGCGGCGAGCGCAGTAATTTTACAAGCATGTAATAAGCTTACAACTCAAGTTGTGTACTATACTTTTTCTACGATTATTTTCTTTTATAAAAATAAAAATTAAATTACCACTATATTTACACTGACAGATTATTAATTTTTAATCTGTCAAAATAACGTCTGTTAATTCGTTTTCATGGTAAGTCGACTAACTGATTTACGAGGCTTATGTGATATTACACATTTTTATAAAACTGAAGCGTAATTTTTTTATTACGTGCTAGTCATTACGTGTCAGTATCTGTTATGATGCATTTACGTAGCATTCAAATAGTAGGTAATATACAATTTAATAGTAAGAGAGTAGAAAAAGTAATATACTATTATTCCTTCTATTAGATTTCTTGTAAATACTTGAATTTTTTGTTCTGTTCTATATTCTGTCCTAAATAGTTTCGGTATTGTATTTTTGTACAGATTCGGTATTGTATTCACAGTTTTTGATATTTATTGCACATTTGTGTATATTCTGGTGTGTGTTTATATTCGATTCTTCTTCGTTTTCCAATAAGCTCTGTTATGTGTGGACTTCAGAGCACTTTATATTTGGTTATCTATTTCTTTCATAAGCTTTTCAGGTTTTGAAGACCATCGTCTATATATTCTGCGTGTTTCGAAAGGTTTCCTGGAAGAATGTATTCATTATGTAGAGTATTATTATGAGTGTCATATATTATCATTATGATATCATTATGAGTATTCATAGATTGCGAGTTGCAGCAGTCATATGCCTCTTACGTTCCTTGTATAGCCCGATTATAGATATTTGAGAAATTTAAAGAGATAGACCAATAATTGGTGTACATGGGGTACCAAACAGTGCTTAGATCAAATGACATCTGTTTTAATAGTTCCTCTTTAATATTTTGAGTTGTACTACAGGATAGTATTCAGAAAAACGCAAAAATAATTAATGTAAAATATAATTTCATTAGGCAAAATTATAAATATATTATATTTAAATAATTATAACTGTTAAGTCTACTTAATCAAAATAATGTTTTTATCTGGTTTAAACTCTGTAAAGAGAGCACGCATTTATTAGTGACGATTTCGCTATCAGAAAAATATTAAGTAAATAAAAATGTGGCGTCCATGGGAGAATAGTACATTAGAAATTGTTGAGAATAATAAAGTAGATATTGTTGAACAAAATAAGGAAATTCTACCGTCAAATAATCCTGAAAATGTTGCTGGACCAAGTAGAGGTAGTATTAAGACAGAAAAAAAATATTTATCAAAAGACGCTAAAGAAATTGTGTTACATGTGTTTAATGGATTATGTGAAGAACTGGAACGGCACAAGAGTGTTTTAAAAACTGCAGCTTTAACAATAGTTTCATGTGCTACTGTATATCGAATTATAAAGGAGGGCATTACAAATAGACAAAAAAGGAGCGACTTTAGACTACATCGATCTATTGAGCAACATCTTTTAGGTCCCACTTCAGAAACCATTTATAATATCTATGCATGTAATATTATACCCACACTTAACCAAATTTTAGCTGAATTAAAATCTAAAAATATTATTAATTTCTATAAATCAATGTTAAGAAAATTTTTACTATTAAATGGGTTTAAGTATAAAATAATAAATAAACGACATAATATAATGGAAAGTGCCCGTTTAATAAAATGACATAATGAATGTTTGGAAAAGTTAATCGAGTACAGAAATAGCGGAAGAAAAATGTATTACTTAGATGAAACGTGGTTTGACACTAACGAAACAATTGCCAAAGGTTGGAGTAATGACAATGTAAAGTGCAAAGTTAATGTACCAGCTTCCAGGGGAAAACGAATATGCATTTTATATTGTGGAGGAGAAGATGGTTGGGTAACCGATTGCTTACTATTAATTGCAAAGGACATTAAAGACAGTTGTTTGGACTAACATCAAGATATTGCGGGTGAACTTTTCTAATTGTGGTTTAAAAATAACTTATTACTAAATTTAGCAGACAACAGTGATATTGTTTTAGATAATGCATTATATCATTCTAGACAACTTAAAAAAAATCCGTATAAACACTCTAGAAAGGATTAATTGCAAGATTTTTTATTATTACAAGATTTATATTTTGATGATTGGTACACTAAAGACCAATTAGTAGAGGTACTCAATAAAAAATTATTAGTAAAGGAGTATATTACTGTTAATGCAACAAGTAAAAAATGGACATACAACTTTAAGACTACCACCATATTAATGCGTTTTCAATCCATAGTGTTGTTATGTCTCAACGTCCCTATATCTCTGAGGATAACTGGAAGAAATCAATAGAGCACGTAAAAAATATCGAAAAAAAAATATCTTAAAAACATTCCTGTTCTACATAAAATTATTATCAATGTGAAGAACAGTGATTCAGAGGAAGAAAGTGACGAAGTGTAATTCCAAGACACCTTTCTCTCAATACTGAGCTTACCCGGAATATTTTCTTACATAATCAGGTGTAGGGATAATCGACATATGTTCAACACCAAACTACTGCTTTAATTTTTTAAGAGAAACGTGGCCTTATTATGAACACTTCACTTATTGTTGCAATATTTATATCTTTGAAAATCAGTTCCTAAGAGAAAATGATAAGTAAGTGTTGACTAGATAAACTTTTAATTTTTACTTTAAGGTTTTATAAATTATTTAAATATATATTTTTTTATCTTTCAATACCTACCGTTCGCTCAATTATTAATTAGTTTTTGTATACAAACCAATTATTGTTTGAACATTTTATAGAAAATGCATTGCAGAAATATGATTCAAGTAATTTAAACTTACACATAATCATCAAGACATAAAATTAAGCTTTGTTTATACAATACAAATTTATAGAACCAATTTCTTATAAAATATACCATATTAGATTTCATGTAGGTCGGTCCTATCCTGTTCTTCACCGGTCATAGTGCTGCTTATCGCATTTTTCTCAAATAAATATAACCGGGCTATATTCCGTGACAATGCAGTGGTAATTCTTATTTCTTATTTTTTCTCCTATTTTTGCATTGATATCATTAATAATTATTGTGTAGTTAGCTTCTAAATGATTATCAAGAAATTATTATACCAGCAATCTTTATAATGTCTATATTATATCTACATATAATATATCCACATTTTCATCGCTATGTGAACCTGTTGGAGCGTAGTTACTTCGGTGTTTAAACAGAATATTTACTTTTAGGGTACTTTTTGGGGTGACCATGATTGGAAAGTAGGGGATAATAACGATACTGTTGCTCGAATAGCTTACGAAGCTCTTCTTCGAGTTTCATTACTTCAACCAACCAGTGACAAGTTTCAGGAATTTGCCGACAAAGTTAAACAGAGGTCCATGGAAGATTACAACTATACAATAAGTGAAAACGAAGAAGTAAGTTAATTTAATATATATATATATATATATATTATATATATATATATATATATATATAAAATAATGATAAAAATAAAATAAAATAATGACAGTTTGCTAAGTAAACGTATGTCTAGTTAAGAGGTAGTTACTGTGCATTTTTAATATACAATTAATTTTTTTTAAGAAATTAATAGTACACAATTGAGATATTTTAAAGGAAAAATTTGAATCATGGTTAAATTTCTCGTTTAATTTGCGATAAAAAATCTATTCTGCCTTGTTTTAATGAGGCGCTGTTTTTATGCAAAAAAAAAACACAATGCGTATTTTTCCTTTCTGTAATAGATTTTCAGGAGTAGACAGTTCTATATGGATAGATATGTATTATCTATTTCTCCAGAAGGACAGAAAGTACAGTAACACAAATAAAGATAGGCGCAAAGCTACAACAAATTTTCAAAATGACCTTCCTCAGGCGTAACACAAGATTCAACTCTCATAGATTCATTAATTGTCATATTGGCGCAAATATTCCTGCTGTATTGTAATAATCTTTTTAATCGATCTTAACAGATATTATCTAGGAAGAAAGAGCTAATATTACCTACTAGTCCCCATAATATATAAGACTGGCGATCAGTAAACTCAAGGATAACAAAGCATTAGGTTTAAATATGATAACAGGAGAAATGCTCAATACCACAAAATAAATCGGAATAAAGAAAATTTAACTTGCTTTGTAACAAAATATGGTATTCCAAGCAATGGCTTGACTGAACAAAATCTACAATAACGAGAGTATATAGGAGGAATTCTACAAAAATTCTCACCTTAACTGGAGCCAAATATGGTGATATTGCAATTTGCTGCCCGTACCCCGCAGTAACAATTTTTTTCTGTAGGTTGATACCAAAAAACATATTTTCAGATGCGAGCCTCAAAAAAAGGCAAATTTAAGTTTTTTTCCAAAAAAAAAACTGATTTGTTCGCTAAAGCTATTTCATTCTTCTAGCGATCTGCCTCGAAAAACGAGTGAAAGAGACTTCTATACTTGGAGCACACGTACATATCAGGTACCAATCGCTTCGTCTTGGTCTCCAGAAGCAACTCTGTTCCTTTGAAGAGCCAAGAAACACCTCAAAGCGTAGCAAGCGGTTATTCAGTCCCTTAAGGTCGTCGTTTTTTTTTATTTTTTCGCGATTTTACCCGAATATAGATTAATATATTCCTCTATAGTTAGAGCACACATAAATGTTAAGTTAAGTTAAGTAAGTAAGTATGAAGAACATAAATGTTCTTCAAAGGGTCAGAATTCATTTTGGAGATCAAGACGAGATCTTTTAATCTATTTTCGGATTAAAATCGATAAAAATTAAAAAAACGTCGATTTTAGGGACTGAATAACCGTTTGCCACGCTTTGAGCTTTTTTTTGGTTCTTCAAAGGGGACAAAGGTTTTTCTGGAGAGAAAGACGAACGCGATTGGTACCTAATATATGTATGTGTGCTCCAACTATAGAGGTATATTTTAATCTATTTTCGGGTAAAATCACACAAAAAAATGAAAAAAAAAAAACGTCGATTTTAGCGACTGAATAACCGCTTGCCACGCTTTGAGCTTTTTTTTGGTTTTTCAAAGTATATTGCAGCCTTACTATTATGGGCTATTCAAAACATACACCATTTAAATATTATTAAACACACATTTTTAGAGTCTGGATAGTCATATAATATGGAAGTTGACTCTATGCATAGTAGTATCGAAACCGCTAAAAACACAGATCTATCTATGGGATGCCAGATTAGTTGTCTGTTTTTTAAAATGCAAGTGAAACTAAAAAAATCAAGGTTGATGATAAAAAAGTATGTATAGAATTATACAAATGTAAAGAATTTAAATACTACGACTTTTATGATTTAAAAAATTGGCCACACACTTTAATTAAAAACCGGACAAAACACCAAAACGCCGAAAAAATAATGTGGTTGAAGATAAAAGAATGAAATTCGTGAAAGGAGAGACAAACACAATCTATTTGAATTATGACATGTCAACAAGCTTTAATTATTTCCTTAGTGATACTGCACGGTAGTAAACAAGGAAAAGCATGTCAAGTTATCAACTAATTCAAGGAAACTTGAAGAACTTAGCGACTTTTTGATGCACATTTGCCAATTAGCATAGCAAAAAAAGAGAGGAATATCACGGGTGGTATCGTAATTTGAAAACGAAAAATAATGTAATGCACGATCTGCGAAAACGTGCGAAGATTTCCGAACTATCAGTCTTATGGGCCATGCACTTAAAATTTTTCTTAAAATCATACATGCCAGAATTTACAAGAAATGCGAAGAAAATGTCGGTGAAAATTCGGATTTCCGCAATTCCATGAACCAGCCTAAACGATCTGCAGGCCTTACAAGACCGAGTGCGAACTGTGAGCGTAATATACGGACTGAACCTCGATATTAAGAAAACTAAATTCATGGTTGTCAGCCGTACAAATTTAGATCCCGGGGCACTAAGGCAGGAAGCGAAGAGATCCAGAGAGTCGACAGATTCACTTACCTAGGAACTACCCTCAACGTACAATGGGACTACGCTCAAGAGATTAGATCCAGAGTTGAAATGGCACGGTCTACATTTATTAAGTTTGAGATACTTGTGCTGTTGCAGTGATCTCAGTTTGGGAACCAAGATGCGATAGTGAGGTGCTACGTTCTTTCAGTGTTACTATATGGAGTTGAAGCCTGGACACTGACGCAAGCCACTGAAAAACGAATCAAAGCCTTCGAGATGTAGATATACAGAAGGATACTAAAAATATCTTACGTGGACCATGTCAGCAACGTTGAGGTCCTACAGCGCATGACAAAAGAAAAAGAAGTGCTTAATTTAATTAAACAACGTAAGCTTGAGTACCTCGGCCACGTGATACGGAACGAAGAAAAATATCAAATTCTTCAACTCGTTATGCAGGGTAAAGTATTTGGCAGAAGAGGACCGGGACGCCGTTGTATCTCGTGGTTGAAAAATCTCCGACAATGGTTTGGGATGACCTCAGCGGAGCTGTTTCGCAGAGCAGTCAACAAACGTGACAAACCATGATAGCCTTGATGATCGCCAACATCCGGACCGGATAAGGCACTGAAGAGGAAGAAGAAATAATGTAAAAGACATCTTGCCAGAGCCTGCTTTCAGTGACGAATCGGACGAGGAAGCCTCATAATAATAATATTGTTATTATTATAATATATAATATTAGTATATTATATTCGAAAATAAATTGGTTTTTTCTATAAAACTGCCTATCATTCATATAAATAATAACTATAACTACAAACAGCTGTTAATGAAATTTTTTAGGGAAAACCAGTTAAATGTCATAAATATCGACTAATACCTTAAACCATTGCTATTACCTAGTGAAAGCCTCATATCTCGACCACAAAACTCAAAAATATTATTCTTGCCTTAATATATTTGTGTTAAGTATCTAATTTAAAAAGTAACTGATTAATTTAGATTTACAGGTAAAACCAGGTAAGTGATCATTTCCAACTTAAATTTAGGATTAGTCCGATTGATGTCTCAACTTTTTCAAACAAATAATAAAATATCATTTCAGATATATGCATCTTTCGCTAGAATACCTAATATCGGAAACAAGCTGCCTGCCTAATTCACAATAAAAAACTAAACTTTAAAAACGTTTTTTCTCCATTTCCTTATTCCGACATTTACTTGGTTTTCGCAGTATACAGTCGATATAAGATAACTCGTTAGACTTGTTAAATAATAGGTAACCATTCAATGGCAATAAATTTATTTTTAATTATATTTTTAGATCAATTTTGTGATTGGAGCTTTCTACGATGGCGTTTATTTACTAGGCATGGCACTAAACGAAACATTATGGGAAGATGGAGATATAAGGGATGGACGAAGTATCACAGCTAGAATGTGGAATAGAACATTCTCTGGTACGTAAAATACACATTGTTCTGCTTGCTTTAAGTTATTACGTCTGTAGTTTTCATTTTTGGAGCATATTGCTGTTTAACTCTTTAAGGTATTTCCTACACCTAACAGTCAGAAAATCTAGTCAGATATATAAAGGCCAATAGACTCAATAGGGCATGTGATACGCAGTAACTACAATCGCCTTACAAACAATGTGTTCTGGGAAAGGCCAGATGGAAGAAGGTCTGTAGGGCGGCCTAGAAAAAGGTGGAAAATGCAGTCAAAGAAGATGTAGAGAAAATGAGAGTGCGACAATGGAAATTACTTGCACAGGACCGACAAACATGGAAGGCAATAGTAAACGCGGCAAAGCTCACTAAGAGTTGCAGCACCATTGATGATGATGATGATATCCTATATAAAGTAACTCTTGCTTAAATACTGCACTTATGCTGTCCTATAGTATTTATTGTTCAAATTGTTCAATTGTGTTTATTTATTTTCCCAGATCATACCGCTTAGGATTTCTGAAATCGCGGGTTTATTTGACAGTTTATTTAACTTTAATACCCATGCTTATAAAAATATAGTATATATCTTGGAATATTATACATATGGTGGATCAATATTTATTACACTGGAGGAGACAAAACTGATCATCGATACGGAGTAGCTTTTATCATAAGCAACACTATTAAAAAATCAGTGTTAGGTGTGATTCAAATCTCAGAAAGAATAATAATGCTAAAAATTCAAGCACGGAACTGTAATATTAATATGATCCAAGTTTACGCTCCCACTGCTGATAAGACCGAAGATGAGATCGAAAACTTTTATTTAGAATTGCACAATACAATCAAGTTAACAAAATCTAGAGATATTACTTACATTTTAGGAGATTTTAATGCAAAAATTGGAGTAGGTACAGTTGAAAATATAGTTGGACAGTTCGGACTAGGAACTAGAAACGAGAGAGGAGAAAGGCTCATAGAATTCTGCCAAGAAAAGAATATGGTAATTGCCAATACTTGGTTTCAGCTTCCTAAAAGAAGACTATATACATGGACGTCTCCTTCACATACAGAAAACCACATTGTCAGAAACCAGATAGACTTTATACTCGTAAATAGCAGATATAAAAACTCTATAACCTCAGTTAAAACTTATCCTGGAGCAGATGTTAACTCAGACCACAATCCGCTAGTGGCTGACGTGAAAATAAAATTAAAAAGAATTGAACTCAGAAAACAACAACCAAAAATTAACGTAAGAATGCTACAAAACGAAGAAATAAAAAACGAAATAAAAAATAATGTGAATGTTAATATGCAAAAAACACTAACTGACAACAAACAAATTATGGATGTAAATAAAAAGTGGTGTAATATAAAAAACACATTACTGAAACCAGCTCAAGAAAGTTTAATAGAACATAAATCAGAGGCTAAAAAACACTGGATGACAGAAGAAATACTATTACTGATGGAAGAAAGAAGGAAATATAAAGGAAAAGATCTACAGAAGTATAAAGAAATACAACGAATAATTAAGGAAAAAATCAAAACAGCTAAGGAAATCTATTTGATGAAGCAATGTAAAGAGATAGAAGAACTAGAAACAAAATATGATATGAGAAATATGCACAAAAAAATTAGAGAAGTGACTGGAATGGGTCGAAATAGACAGCAAGGACACATAAAAGACAAAAAAGGAGTACTACTAGTAGATTTACCAGAGAAGTTAAGGCGATGGGAGGAGTACGTTAGAGAACTTTTCCAAGATGAAAGAGGTGAAATGCAGAAAATACAAGAATTAAATCCTTTAGAGATACAGAAGATCACGATAGATGAAATCAAATATGCTATCAAAAACTCTAAAGACAATAAGGCAGCTGGATTAGATGAAATACCAGTAGAACTGTTAAAACTAGTGGAAGAGGACAACTTGGAAGTATTGGCAGATTTATTCAACACGGTGTACGATACGGGAATAATACCACAGGAGTGGCTAAAGTCAGCATTTATAACCATCCCTAAAAAACAAGCAGCAAAAGAGTGCTCTGATTATCGAACACTGAGCCTCATGAGTCATACTTTAAAAGTTCTGCTAAAAATAATACATAAGAGAATATACGAAAGGCTAGAGGAGGATATTAGCGAGACGCAGTTCGGGTTCCGAAATGGAATGGGTACTCGAGAAGGACTATTTGCCATCAACATATTAATTCAGCGATGTCGGGATGTAAATGTTGATCTACACTTGTGCTTCGTTGACTACGAAAAAGCTTTCGATAAAGTAAGACATGAAAAACTAATATCAATACTTATGAACAAGCGCATTGACAGTAAAATCATAAATATAGTGCAAACATTATATTGGAACCAAAGTGCCATAGTTCAAATTGATGGGCAACACTCAGAAGAAATGAGGATCTGTAGAGGAGTTAGACAGGGATGTGTGTTATCACCACTTTTGTTTAACTTATATTCTGAAGAAATTTTCCAAAACACGCTCAATAATATCGAAGCGGGAGTCACCGTTAACGGAAAATTAATTAATAATTTAAGATATGCAGACGACACTGTGATCATAGCAACGAGTATAGAGGATCTACAACATCTTATCGAAAGCTTGAGTATAAATAGTGCTGAGATGGGAATTACTATAAACGCTAAAAAAACGAAGTACATGCTGATTACAAAAAGGCCACAAAATATACATCACCTATTGACAATAAATGGTAACGTGATAGAACAAGTAGAAAAATATCAGTATTTGGGAACTTTGATCAATGAAACCAATGATCATACTGTAGAAATAAACAGACGAATAGAGATTGCCAGATCAGCATTTATACGAATGAAGCCACTCCTAACGTGCAAAAATCTAAATTTGGAGATCAGACTACGTACCATTCGCTGTTATATATTTTCAATATTATTATATGGAGCTGAGACTTGGACATTAAAAAAATGTAATTTAAAAAGAATCGAGGCCTTCGAACTCTGGTTATACCGCAGATTATTGAAAATATCATGGACTGATAGAATTACAAATAAAGAAGTACTGGAGAGGGTTGGTAAAGAAACAGAACTAATCACCACTATACAAACCAGAAAACTGGAATACCTAGGCCACGTGATGAGGGGACCAAAATATGAAATTTTGAGACTGATAATACAGGGAAAGATTCAAGGAAGAAGATCTGTTGGCCGAAGGCAGAACTCATGGTTAAAGAATCTACGTGATTGGTACCAATGCAGATCGATTGATTTGTTTAGAGCAGCAAGTTCTAAAATAAAAATAGCCATTATGATTGCCAACCTCCGTAGGGAGACGGCACTCTAAGAAGAAGTGGATCAATATTTGTCCTATCTATTATCGTCTTTCTTTTTAAGGGTACGCCAAGCAAATTTGTATTGAAGTTTTGTTTGACCAAGGCACGTAACTAAATATTTTAGAGAGGGCATTTACTTAGTTTTGCATGTATTGTAACGATATATTTTGCTTACCTCAGGGTAAGAACATGAGGGACACGATTGGGCTTACAAAGGTCGTGGATAAGTTGAAATAAATTTGGGTCAGATTGGGGTATCTACTAAATGAAAACAAAGGGATACTTAATAATAACACGTAGTTATTGATTATTCTAGCGATCCTAATTTTAACCTGACAATGTAACAGAGACAAAAAAATATTTCCAGCGTTATTACGCATTTAAGTATCTCTTGGTATAAACAACCAGGGGCGTACTACAAAAATTTAAACAAAAACTATATTAAATATAAAACGCTACAGTATTCTTAGGGAAATATTCTGTAAATTTTGTTTTGTATTTAGAAATATCAAGGTCCATTCGCTAACATTGAGTATCCATAGCTTCTAACATTATATTCTTACGCTATTTTCTATAGTATGTAACTATTTTATAAAAATAAAATTTACCTTTTAGGAATTACTGGGCAAGTTAGAATTGATAGTAATGGCGACAGAGATGCTGACTATTCTATTTTAGACTTAAATCCCATTACTGGAAAATTTGAAGTAGTAGGACACTACAATGGCTTAACCAATGAATATTCCCCAGTTCCTGAAAAAAAGATTCACTGGCCAGGAGGAAGAACAGATTCTCCCCCGGATATTCCTTTGTGCGGCTTTATGGGAAACAGCCCAGAGTGTCGTAATTACGGTAAGATATTGTGACTCTGAATTTATAAACGGCAAATTGCAGTTGAAATTTGTTCATCCATTTAATTCAATCTCTTTATTTTTAATATTTTGACTTATTCAGTTATATAGTAAAATTTAAAAAACAGCGAAAAACAATACCATATTTATACTTTGAGCTACTCGTAAACTAATAATTTCTCAATATTAACAATTTCATCTGACATTTGGCAATATGTCACAACAATATACAAGAGAGGAAGAAAAATTGTGGAAACTCTGTAACTTAAGCAAACTATTTACTTATGTACACAAACAATCTAGGCCATTCGTTCGTGTCGAAAGAGAATACACACACACATATATATATATATATATATATATATATATATATTATATATATATATATATAATATATATATATATAGTTCATCCCAACCCTATGGAATATGAGTGTACCACTACTAGATAGTGGGACCTCCATGTCCGAATATCAGACCGGTCTCGTTCCAAAAGAACAAGTCATTTTGGCTCGGTACCTATCTGACCCCCAGGTTTTTCCACCACCACTCCTCTACGTCTGACATACGCAGAGGAGGCTATGAACTGTTACGTCGGGCGATTTGGGAAAAGAAACACCCTCCGTTTTTCATGACTTGTGGTTAGGCCACCTAGCTGTAGGGGTAGCTTAGTGTAGCTTTTCTCCCTATTTACTTTACTGAATTTAATTTGACTTTACTTCGGGCTCTGTGGCCCTAAAAATGTGTGTCCGATCAGGGGGTCGGCAGCAAGCTGTCGGCCCCCTGTTCGGAGGTTGTGTGCTCGGTCACACAGTCGTCAATTTGGCAAAACAAGTTTTGGTCTCCTTGCCGATTGGGCGACCGATAGGCCTGGCCACGAGCCCGTGTTTGTCGCACACGACCTCGATGCTCAGTTTTCGTGGGTTGCCTGTGGCAACTTAGTCCTGAAGGGCTATTCCTGAAGGGTAGTTGCTTAAGGGCGTGCCTGAGGGGCCTCAGCCTGGTGGCTTTAATGATTAGGATTCTGTGTCCTGATTATTCAATTTGGCTTTATTAGCTTTAACAGACTTTGTTAGTAGGGATTTTTGGATGAAATAATAATAGGGGTAGGGGAGGTTTAATGGGTGGGATGTGCATTCCCAAGTGCATAACGCTCTCACACATCCCGTGTATATGTTTTTGGGTTTTTTTGTTATGTTGTAACTGGTTAGTAAAATAAAAATAACTGAAATAATAATAACTAATGAAATAAAAATATAGGTAGGGTACTTTAGGATTTTATGGTTTTTTTTTGGTGAGCTAGGCTCGTTTTTTGTTTTTTGATTTTTTTGTGTATTTTTGTGATTTTTTTGGCCAAATCTGTTAAGCTATAGATTAGGGCATCTTATGTGAATATCCTTTCATTACGTTCAATCAGGGTTTCCCCTGTATCCAGCCAGCTGTTGTTTTGGCCGTCTATGTACAGTCCTTAAATTAGGGTCGTAGTTTGTCAACTCTCTTAGCAAACGGTTCGGATGGTTTCTGAGGTTTTCAAAAAGCTCATATGCATGTTCGTTTATCATGACCAGGACGCTCTTTTGCTGCGAATCCCTATATACGTATCTTAGCGGTGCGTATTTAGGTATTTTAAGAGCCTCTCTGATCATGAAGTTCTGTACAGTCTGGATTTTCTTCAGTCAAAGTTCTTTCTGTTTGATTTACATGCATGCCCCCACGCTGCTGAGGCGTATATGAGGGATGCAGAATGATGGCGTTTGCCATTCTTATTTTCGCTTTGAACCTCAGATTACTTTTCCTCCCTATTAGCGAGGAGAGCTGACTTCTAAGGATTTTTGCCTTGTATACCGTTTGATTTATTTGCTTGGTAAAGGTGAGTCGTTTATCTAGCGTTACTCCGAGATATTTGGCACTATCTTGCCATTCGAATGGAGTACCGAAGATAGATATTTCCCTATCTGGGAGTCCATGACGTTTTTTTGTACATAACAGCCTGTGTTTTGTCCGGGTTGACAGCAATTTTCCACATAACACACCAACATTGGAGCTGGTCAAGGCCGTTTGCAAGTATCTAGTGGCCAGATCAGGGTTCAATACTGCTAGCAGCTATAGCAGTGTCGTCGGCGTATAGGCTGAGCATAGTACGTGGGTCACTAGGGGTATCTGAAGTGTATATGGTATACAGGTAAGGCGACAGCACGGCTCCTGTGGTACTCCTGCCTCCATGATTCCGACTCTCGGATAGGGTGAGCTCTATACGAACTCTGAATCTTCTGTTGGCTAGGTACAAGGAGAGAAGACATGTCATCGCTTCACTGTATCCCAGTTCTGTTCATTTTATACAGCAGTCCGTCATGCCATACTTGGGAGAAAGAGAATTGGGTGTGGTTTTTTTTTTAAATATGAACAATCTGTTTTTACGATCTCTAAAATTAAAATGAATTAGGCACCATTCCCTAATAGTTAACCCTCGTAACGAAAGGAGCTCAGACACAGAAATATAATGGAAAAATTTAAAATAAAACTTTTACTATTTTGTAACAAACAAAAAAAAATCTTAAAAGATTACGTCATCTTAGAAAACAAATAAACAGTCTGTGTTAAGTTATTAAATTACAAATGAGAAGTACCTATACGAAACTAAAATTACAATCACATCGCGAAAAAAACAAACATTTTATATCTTGGCATTACATTATGACTGAGAAATGCTTATATAAAAATAAAATTATACTTCATCCCACATTTCGAAATCGTTCACATAAAAAATATATTATATATTATGTAGGTATTTATATATTATATATGTAATAATGTTTAATACGGACTTTTGAGAATATTTGGGAAATATATTCGATAAAGATGGCATGACACCTAATTTAGATAAAGTTAAAGCTATTATAAATTTGAAAGAAGCCAATAATAAAAAAGAGTTGCAAAGAATACTGGGCATGATCAATTACCATTGAAATTTTATACCAAATTTATCAGATGCATCAGTCCCATTAAGAGAATTGTGAAAAAAGATCACTTTGGATGAGAACTACAAGTCACACACACTCATTTAATATAATAAAAAAAGTTAATTTGCTCACCACCAATTCATGCAAATTTTGGTGAAAATATTCCAATAATAATTCAAACAGATTCACGTCAAAATGGTGTTAGATGTGTATTATTACAAAATCTTAAATCTGTATCTTTTGCTTCTAGAACTTTAACCGATTGTGAAACCAGATTTAGCCAGATTAAAAAGGAACTAAATGCAATCCTATTTTCTTGTACTAAATTTTATAAATATATTTATGGTAGAGAAGATAAGGTTTTCACAGATCCCAAACCATTGATTTCGATAATGAAGAAAGGCATAGCAGAAGTAGACTCTCCTAGACTACAATGTATGAAGGTGAAATTATTAAAATATGACTTAACTGATAGCTAATTTGCTATCTCGAAATTTTTTGAAGAAAAAGGTAGAGGATGATGCATTTGTAACGGAAATAGTGCATACATTAAATGTAATAGAAGAAAGGATTTGCTGTCTCGACATTTTTTGAAGAAAAAGGTAGAGGATGATGCTTTTGTAACGGAAATAGTGCATACATTAAATGTAATAGAAGAAAGGAGAGAAGAATTTATAGCTGAAACTAAATAAGATAAGAAGCTTCAAATAATTAGAGATTTTTGTTAAAAAGTGGGGTCATGTGCATCGAGGGTACCTTACATAGTAAAAGATTATTTTTATATTAGGCATGGCGTTTACTCATTAAATGATTTGATATTTTATAGGGTCATAGCTCCGGATTCTTTGCGGTATATAATGTTAAATTTGGTTCATGAAACACACTTTGGGGTCACAAAAACATAGCAAAAAGCAAGACAAATATTGTTCTGCTCAAATATAAATAAGGACATAGTGGATTTGGTTAGAAATTGTGTTGATTGTGAGAAATATTAGATAAATAATGTTAAAGAGCCGTTAATACTAAGAGAAATTTCAGAACTGCCATTTTAAATACGCTGATATTTGTGAACTTGGAGGAACATCTTATTTAATTGTAATAGATTATCTCCCTAAGTGGATTGAAATTGTTCCGTTGCACTCCAATACATCCCAGACAATAATAAATTCCTTTAAGACTTTGTTTGCCACTTATGGGATTTCTTTGGAAGTCGATCTGATAATATGCCTTTTGGCTCTAAGAAATATCGAAAATTCTCTAAGGAATGAAATTTTAAATTTGTGACATATAGCCCTAGATATCCTAGAGCAAATGGGCTGGCAGAACGAGCCGCCCATATAGCTAAAAATATATTCAGGAAGTGTAAAAATCTTCAGTAAGCCTTATTAAAATATAAGGACACACCACTATTAGGATCACACAAATCCCCAGCACAACTCTTGAATAGTCATGTACTTAGTACCTCTAAGTCTATAACTTCTCTAAGTTTACATGAAAAATATTACCAGAACAGTAGACCAAAAAAAAATGAAAAGTAATAAATTGGATAATAAAGAAAATTGTACAAGCACTACTATGATAGAAGTAAAGCTACAAAAGAAGAATTAAGTGTAGGGGATAATGTGGTTATAAGAGAAGATGGGCAATGGAAACCTGCTGTGGTTAGACGAGGTTTACGAAAGCCAAGATCATATGTTGTTGAGAAAGAAAATTGGACACTTGTAAGAAAATTGCTATCACGTGAGACAATCTAATAATATGTCTAACTATCATATGATTTTGATCACAATCAAAATGACAGACCTTTAACATTAACGGCCCGTGAGAGTGATATACCGAATCAGTTTCCTACCAGAAGTAAAATATTAATTAAACCCACATCTAGATATAATGATTTTTAGATGTATTAGTTTTGCAATTAGTGTTAGGTATTCAGGCTGGAATTTCAGAACGTCGAATCTATCGGCAGCAGAAACATTATATCCACCATAAAAATGTATAGGATTGGACTGCTAAGCAAACGACTTATTCTTTGAATTGTTGGTTTCAGAACATA